CTCATAGTGACCCTGTTTAGGTTTTCCAAGGTTTTAAATATTCAAGGGAGCAGAAAGCCTCATCTTTGTTCTGATTGCTGTGTGTATTTTCACGCCCCCAAAAAAATTTTTAAATGGTCCTCTCAAATCAATGGAGAGGAAAAGGATTTACTTATTAAGTGATACTGGGACAAGCTAATTTGAGATTTCTTGTTGTTGTTGTGTGTCATGGAGTCGGTTCCGACCCATAGGGACCCTGTACAGGGTTTCCAAGGCTGTAAATCTTTACAGGAGCAGAAAGCCTCATCTTTCTCCCACTGAACAGCTGGTAGTTTCAAAATGCTGACTATGAGGTTAGCAGCCCGATTCGTAACCACTATGCTACCATAGCTCCTTATACATAAATGTAAACTCCAAGGCATGCTGTGGGTTAATGCGCCAGACTGCAAAGCTGTTTGAACTGCAAGATCGGTGGCTCAAGCTCACCAGCTACTCCTTAGAAACCCTATACAGGGTCGCAACTGACTCAACAGCACTTAACAACAACAACAACAACAAGGCTTAATTAAATTTAGACATATAAACAAGTACAAGGGGAAAGGAAACAAAGGGGCACAATTACAACACATATAACAGTCAAAAGGCCAAATTCTTTAATACAGAAAGAGCTCTTTTAAATAAACTGAAAAGATATAAGCCAAAAGATTAGAAAGAAGGAAAAGGAAAATAGTCAATCAACATATAAATGTTTAAAACGGTCTATTAGAGAGTTTGGTAAAGTGGAGGGTCAGAGAAAAAGAGGAAGACCCCCAGTGAGATGGATTGGCAAAGTGGTAGCATCATGGGCTCAAGCGTGGCAACAATTGTGAAGTTGGCCCAAGACCGGACAGTGTTTCGTTTGTTGTATATAGGGGTCACTATGAGTCGGTACCGACTCGATGGCACCTAACAACAATTAGAGAGTTATGAATTAAAATATGTAATTAAGCCAGAAATGGACAGTTACAATACATAATGCAAACGATACACTATTAGTTAAGAGTGCAATTACTGCACCCTTCTTGGAAGTCAATTTGACAATTAACTATCAAAAGTTCACATGTAATGCATGAGATGACAGTTTTACCCAGCAGATGCTAGATAATCAGCCTTCAGATAAACTTACAAAGGAGCACAAAGTGTCTATGGGTAAAGAATCATTTTCCAGGTATCTGTACAATGCTTAGAGTATATTCTTAAGTTATCATTGGATGAATGAATTGCAGTACTATTTGAAATAAGAAAAATAAGTGGTTCTGGTTGTTGTTGTTTGGTGCCATCGAGTCGGTACCGACTCATCACGACCTTAGGCGCAGCAGAATGAAACACTGCCTGATCCTGGGCCAACCTCACTATCGTTGCCACACTTCAGCCCACTGATGCTGGCACTTGGCCAATCCAGCTCACTTCCTCGTTTTCTCTGACCCTCCACCTTACCAAACATGATATCCTTCTCCAGTGACTGGTCCCTTCTGACAATATGTCCAAAGTATGAGAGACGAAGTTTGGCCATCCTGGCCTCCAAGGAGCACTCTGGCTACACTTCTTCCAACACGGATCTGTTGGTTCTTTTGGCAGCCCATGGCACTTTCAATATTCTCCTCCAACACCATAACTCAAAGGCATCAATTCTTCTATGGTCTTCCTTATTCACTGTCCAGCTTTCGCAGGTATATTATTAGGTTACTGAAAATACCATGACTTGGGTCAGGCGCACCTTAGTCCTCAAGCTGACATCATTGCTTCAACACTTTAAAAACGTCTTTTGCAGCAGATGTGCCTAATGCAGTACGTCCTTTGATTTCTTGGCTGCTGCTTCCATGAGTGTTGATAGTTGATCCAAGAAGAATGAAGTCCCTGACAACTTCAATCTTTTCTCCGTTGATAAGAATGTTTATTGGTCCAGTGGTGAGGATTTTTGTTTTCTTTAAATTGAGATGTAATCCATACCGAAGTTTGTGCTCTTTGATCTTCATCAGTAAATGTTTTAAGTTCTCTTCACTTTCAACAAGCAAGGTTGTATCATCTGCATATTTCAGGTTGTTAATGAAGTCACGTTTTCCTTCATATAACCCAGCTTCTCAGATTATTTACTCGGCATACAGGTTGAATAACTATGGTGAAAGAATACAACCTTGTCTCACACCTTTTTTAATTTTAAAACATTCAGTGTTCCTATGCTCTGTTCGAACAACTGATTCTTGGTCCAGGTACAGATTCCTCATGAGCACAATTAAGTGTTCCGGAATACTCATACTTCGCAATGTTGTCCATAGCTTGTCATGACCCACATGCTCGAAAGCCTTTGCGTAGTCAATAAAGCATAGGTAAACATCTTTCTGATATTCTCTGCTTTCAGCCAAGATCCATCGCACATCAGCAATGATATCCCTCGTTCCACAGCCTCTTCTGAATCCGGCTTGAACCTCTGGAAGTTCTCTGTCAATGTATGATTGTAGCTGTTTCTG